CCGGCCACGAAAACACTCAACTACCAAAACTTGGACTGAAGCATTGAACCACTTCCATGTCTGGAAACCTAAACAACCAGAAACACATGAAATACGTAGTTGTTCCATTATGGCACTTGAGATCCTCTACACGTGGTTGGGACTGGGGACCGGGGATGGGACTGGGTTTCCCGGTCAAAGCGAGTTTTTGGAGGACCAACTCTTGGTCTTTCGCTTTGGACACGGAGTCGGAGTCGGCAAAACGGGCCCGACTCGCTGAATCAATCGCGGTGTCCCCAAAGCAATATACACCTTAACAGGTCAGGAACTAGTGTACTAGAGTTGTTCACACTACTCAAGGAGGTGTCTAAAGGACCAGGGAAACAAATGATTCTTAGCTGATTCATGGCTCAAGTGCGCTGGCTCGTACCCTTTCAACATGGCTCGCACCCTTTTTAGATGCTTTTTGCATGGCCGCGTTCTTGGAACCCTGCCATTTGTCTACAGTTGCTGGGTTGATTGAGCACCTGTCAAGTCTCTTTTCAGAAAAGCTGTAGCCAATGGTCCGAAGCGCTCCGCCACGGACGTCCCACCGCGATGTTTGGACCCACCGATGGCCACGTTCCGATGGCCACCGGTGGATTCTGGGAGCTCCGGCGAATTGTAATGCTCTGCAATCGCTTGGGTCTGCAGCCAGCCCCTCATCGCCTGCAAAACAGGTGAGAACATGCCACCCACATGGGCGGCTTGCATTCGGATTTGGGCAGGTTCCAAAGGAGAAGAAGAGTGCTCCACAGGTCCCTTCTTTTGGTGCAACCTGCAAAACAGTTTTCTGTCAAACCGCAACTAAAGCCCACCAATACCACCTGAACAATTCGAGGTGATGAATGTGGACGATGTGTCGGTGAGTTCGTTGAATTTGAAGCTTCGGCTGCTTAAAGCATCTTAAAAACTCTGAGAAATCATTGGAGAAGCATTCTCCAATGTTCTTGGGCGACCCCCGATGTTCCAAAAGCTCAGGCCTGGAGCCTCCGGCGAAACTTTCAGGCTCACTTTGGATGTCCAAAGTTGAAAGACCTCCTGTGCATCTGAATCATCCGGAGAACATGAACCAGAAGGTTCACTTGACCTTCAGCAGACCTTCTTCGTCTCTCATATGTTCCGCACCGACAGGTCCAAGAGGGATGCAAACCTGCTCTGTTTACGACTCCAACACTGAAGATAGACCTGGTGAGAAGCTTTGATTAATGAATGACAAGGATGCCTCGGTTTTCTTTATAACCCTGGTCGCCCCAGTTCAGTAGTATGTATTCGTCCCTGGAATCAAATAAATGGTTGGAACCCTTCAAAAGTTCTACAGTACATGGTATTACTAATTAATTACGATCACAGGGAGAACATAAGCAAGAGAAAGAACAAAAGTCAAAATTGTTATTACCAGGAGTCACAAAGGGGTGCCCAATGGAAGCCTATAGGTAGTGTGGGGTAGTTCATTGGACACCCCGACAGGAGGGTCCTGGTATATGTCATTGTTCCTCAGTCCTGAAGCCCTGAAACGTGCTTCTCCTCCACACATCAGCTCCCATCAGCTCCAGCTTCGACCGCATTTGGAATCAGCTCCCATCAGCTCCGGTCGTCGCCTCCGGGTTCGTGGCAAAGGTCTGCAAAGATTTGGCCGTCTCAGGGCTGCCTGCGATCTGCAGAGATCGCACCGACATCGAGAATCCGAGAAACATGCGAAGATGGGAAGATGGCACGGCCATCTTGAGGCTTTTGTTGGTCCCCTGAGCGATGTGCCTGAGGCTCATGTAGACTGTTGACAAATACCGCAAGACGGGAGACGTAAAACCATTCCGGTAGGGAGGGTTTATTCATCAACAGTCTACATTGTAATGGGATGTTTGCCTGGTTCTCCTGTTGCTCTTGGAACGCCTGAGCCAGCAGCGGATGGTGGGAATTTCTCATGGACCACAGCTGCCGGAAACACAAAGCCACGACGAGCTCACTCTGCCAAGTTCCTTCACACGGTGCATTTTGGGTGGGCACTTGTCCAGCATCCCATGCTTTGGATCTACAGGAAGAAGAGATGAACCACCAGGTTTGCGGCTTTTCGATCGAAAACTCCCATCTCCCGGGACGTCGAGACGCGCCGGGCCGTCGAGAGTCAGTATCTGAAGACAAACGTGGCTAAGCGTGCAGTGCCCCGAGTGCCCCGAGTGCATCGAAGTTCAATGTTCATCATCGACAGTTCTGTACAGCTGAAGCGAAGGTGCATCGTCCTCAAGCAATACCGTCTCGTGCTCCTAAACCCTGACCTCTTGTTTAGCCAAGGAGCTTTGCACGTACTGCTTCACCTGGCAGGGTTGTGACATCTACAGCCACCATCCACCGTATAATTACTTATAACTAAAATGCATGAAGGCACCAGCAAGAAGTGTTCGTTGTCAGTTGCCGGATTGCTCCAATGACGCAGCAGGATCATGATCCTGATGCTGTTGCACTTTGCTCTAGGACCGGACCAGCCTGGGTGAAGTAGTTTTCACATCCATGAGGAAGGCGTAGAAAATTGAGGGTGCATGAGAATTGAAGTCAAAAGCCTCATGTTTCCTCCTGATGACAGGAATCCTGTAGAGTTTAAGGGCCTGCTGCCTGTATCAGTATCAATCTGAGAAAAACTGGTGCACGCAGCCGCGGCAATTCCCAGCTCGAATAGCGTATTTATCATGTTGTTGGATGAGGGTCCGCCCTCTGTTCTAGTGATCGGAGGTTTCATCGGGAATCGAGCAGTCCCCGGAAAACATAATGGAACGCACTGCGTTTGGGTGACTCTCTTTAAAGGTCAGGCCGTCGCTTTGCTTGCACCATAAGCTGCTTGGCTGCAGCCAGAACCCCCTCCCCAACGCCCAACGCGTCCGTCCTCCGTCCATGTGGCATCATCGATGTCGGGCAAGCGAGTGATCTCCTGGGGCGAAGAAGGTGACACCGCTGGATCGACGGACCGCAGCCTGGTCGGTCCAAGAGATCTGAGGTCCGATGATCATCTGTTTCATGTGCAAAAGTCTGATATACCTGCAAACTGTGGCATTACTTCGGGCCAATGCAGAATTGGCCGATCTTACCCATTCAGAGTCAAAAAAAGATGTCGATCTATGAGCAGTGTTACATAGTGTTACTGTACCATGTGGACGGATTTACCATGTCGACGGATTAAAGCCAATCATGACCCTCGTGAACGAGAATCTGTTCATAGGCTCCCACAGTCACATGAATTGGTGGATTTAAGTGGAGATCCCAATCTGGATTTCCCTTGGAATACCTCACATGGAAGCCGTTCTTGGTCATATTCCCGTACAAATACCCAGCCACCACAGCCACGAGACGCAGACCCGTGGTTCCTATCTCTCCCCAAACACCCACCGTTCTCGCTTCCTGGGGGTCCCGGCCATGGTACTTCCATCTGAAATCGTCAAGGTCTCCTCGACCCAAAAGCCACGTATAGCGGACCAGCTGGGTCATGCTGGGTCGGGTGGTAGAACACATGTCAAACTGAGACAGGAATCTGCTGAGACTGGACTCCGAGTCTTTATTTTGGTGTACAGTACTTGGGCAAAGGACCAGTGACCTTGTGAAATGAGAGGTGTCCAAGTCCTCCAATGCAAAGTCAAGAAATATCAAGAAAACAAGCCACCGCCCTTCCGCATGCGCAAAAACTCGTCAACAAGCGAAAGCGGCCAGACCAACATCTTGAGACCCAAAAGAGGCCCGGGATCCCCAGGATATGACCTGCAAATGCTGGTGGCATTCTCCTTTTAACAAATGCGGTCGGGTGGGCTCTGTTTATCTGACAGCCTCTCGTTAAAGGTGATGGAGGATGGCTCTGATCGTTAATGAATTGGTGGATGCGGCCTGAATCCCCCAATCTGTCGGAAAAAATGGTGTTGGAGAAGCCAAAAACAAACAACAGTACACTCCGACTCACAATTTCGAGGGATCCCAACCCCAGGGTCTGAACCAAACTGAACACTCAAGCTCCTTAACATGTGAAGCTACGTCTATGGCAAGGTGCATAGGATCAAGTTGTGAAACTGAAACCACACGATTCCACCGGTCCACTGTACCACATACTTTGCCAAACAGTACCTTCGAGCTTTCATAGAAGTCAACTTTCTGAGAGATGTAAGGTGTAAACACTGCTGCCAAATAAACAACATGATGTTGAAGGTTCCCACATTTTCCCGAGAAATGACCCTCTGTGCTCTGAGCAAAAGAACAGGATCTCCCCCGATTTCCATGCAAGTGGCAGTTGTAGGCTTCGCCATCACCGGTCGCGCGGCAGCGCGAATACGCCCGAACGCGTAGCGCGGTCCGCAGGGCTCTTTGAGCAGCAAAACGCAAGACAAGGCGAGACAAGGTGCATGCAACCGCGTCGGGGTGTTGGAAGAAAAACTTCCTTAGCAGTCCACATAGCTCTTGAAAAAGGGCAGAAGGATCAACACAATTTTCGAGGAAACGGTTGGACTTATGGGCCATTCAGCTGCGTTTTCCAGGATTCATGATGGGCCAAAATGCCTCTGTCACCTTGAACGCAAAGACAAAAACCAAAAGATCATAGATGTGACGCTGACTTGTGCAAGAAGCTACTAGTAGCTCCTGGCAGTACTACTAGGAACAAGTAGCTACTAGTATTTGTGAGGGTTTGTTCAGACGGTTCCACCTCTGGGTTGACCAAAACACGGGAGGTCTCGGGTATCAACTGCAACAAAACCCCCCCCTTAGGAGGTCTCTATCCCCAAAGGGATTCAAAGGCATTCAACAAACTATAAGTATATATATATATATGCACTACAGTCTACAGTAACCTATTCTACATGCAATCAATTATATATCATATCATATCTCAAAAGGGGATCTTGTCCACAACATCTTCAAGGGGATTAATTACAGTAGAAATCGGAAGTGCTGAATACCAGCCCTTTTGATCTCGTCTTTTACTCCCGTTTGATTTCGCTGGGCTCTCCAACGGCTTCACACTGAAGAGCACGACCTGAAAAACAACGGCCCACCCGAGCGATTGGGAAACCTCAGGAACGCAAGTGTAACAGCTCGAACTCTGAAGCTTTGTTCCACAACGCCCTCCCTTTCAACTCCTCTTCATTGCAGCGAGCATCCTCCCAGCAGAAGTAAAACAATCACAGTAGTTCGCACCACCTTCTCCCAAGTTCAGTTTATTACAGGCGACCCAAATGACCCAAAGAACACCTTTTGTTTGAGGTCAGAGACTCCCAACTCACAAAGAAAAGCAGATCAGGGCCCTTTTTGCTGATCAACCACCCTGGTCCATGCAGTGACTGGTTGACTGTATTTTTTGTGCAGCCCTTTTTCTCCAAGAGGTCAAATTAGTCTGACCTTAAGACACGGCAGGGCTGTGCGACAACCAAACTTAAGGTCTGCGAAACATATCAATTGGATCTGAGCGTTGCTTTGTGGGGGGGTTCAAGTGGTTTCCCATGGTTTCCCTGTTGAGGTCATGGGTCATAAAGGCGATCGATTGCAACACTTTGTTTGTTATCGATGGCAGAAACACGATGCTGCAGAATTACTGGATGGAAGCGACCCGTCGGGTTGACGCATTGAGTAGAATAAATGTTAGTAGTATATTAGTGATACAGTAGCGATACATATATATATATAGTGATATACTGTACTATGAACATCTATGAAGCAGTTCTTAATTTCCATAGCAACCCTAACATAGTAATATGTCATAGTAATCCTTGTTTCCAACATTCCCTGTCTTGTGTTTATGTAAAAAATACAAAACCTATCAAAACCCGAAAAAGAAACACATGTTATCTCCTTTTTTTTGAGTTCTTTCGGTTCTTTTCACTCATTCTGCCATCAACCTGAACCTGGCCTATCCAAATCTTCGCAGCAACTGAAGGCAACTTGATAAACTTGATATGCTTTCTGCATCTTTATGCACATTGGACATGTTCTTCAGACCGGCTGCCACTCACTCGGCGTATCCACCGTCGCCTCATCACACCGCGTCAATGCGCCACAAGCTTCGGCCAACTGCTTGGGGCTCACCTGTCACACATGTCTGGAAGCAATGCAGAGTTACAGTGGTTTCAGAGTAGATGGCACGCCCGCAATCATATCGTAAATGAGGGGGTCCATATTTTTTCACCACCGACACTGGAATCCTTGTGCCACCGAACCTCTGAGTGCCCACGGTGCCATCGCACCGAAGAAGGACCGGTGGCACCAGTCCAGGACCCATCGGTCAAAGGAGTCGACCGGTGGGGTGGGAAGAGAAACTCGTAGCGTCCGATCGCTCCGTTCGTAGCGATGCCAGGAGCCCCGGTTCGTAGCGTCCTAGAAGACACCAAATCCATACATCCTTCCGGTTGTCAGGGCCCACATTCGGAACAGATCCATGTGGTTTCCGTCGTAAATTGGACATGGCCGTGAACAACAAAAAGGCTGACATTCCACGAGCCACATCCTACAAGGTGGAACCTACTTATTGTATATCAGTCAGCACGTGCCATAGTCTGTTTGTTTCCTTGCAAACTGGCAGTGATTTCTGAGAAGATATCCTTGAATTGGGATATTCACCCGAGTGCTGACTGTCACAAGGCTGTGATTGCTCCCATGCTGAGACACACCATTCAATTCAACCTGCAACTGATCAACCGGAAACTACCCGCATGTTGGCATGGGTCACCTGCTTGACCAACTGGATCCAACTGGCTTTTGCACTGATTCCTTTCATGGGGGGAACAACAAAGCTTCACTTGCTTAGCCTCTCCAGCTTGCTCTTCCAGCTTGCTCAGCTTGGGTGTGAGAAACCATGCGTGCTCTACCCGTCTACCAACCAGCTGTGCCTCCTTCAAGATGAGCACAAACCAGGTGCCCTCCCGCAGCTGAGAACGTGCAGAGACGTGGTGGGAACGAACCAAGGGGGAGCCCAGGAACTGGAAGACGCGACAGAGAGCGCCAGAAGCGGAGGGGTGAAGCAGTAGGCAAGCCGGACAATGGGGAGTGATCCCTTGCTCTTGTTCTTGTTGTTGCTGTTGCTGTTGCTGTGTTGGTGTTGGTGTTGGTGTTGTTGTTCTTGTTCTTGTTCTTGTTGTTGCTGTTGCTGTTGCTGTTGCTGTGTTGTTGTTGCTGTTGTTGTTGTTGTTTTCGATGTTGCTAGGCTTTGCCTTGTGCCTTTTGCGGTCTGACCTAACCCGGTCTCACCCGTCGGGTTGTCCTTTGACCGGTGGCGTTTCCCTTTCTCTGGGTCCAAGAGGGGTCCAGTCTCATCTGAAATACCAACCCACAGGGTAGCGACATTTGGGGATGTTCCCCCCCATCGAACACTTGACAAAAGAATGGTTGCGCGTGTATATTATACACACTGATTCGATGGTAGCAACTCTGATAGAAATAAACACATACAGAATTGAACAACTGAATCTTAAAAATACTAGGAAGAAAAGGAAGATTGAATTTTAATACTGAGAGGATCCGATCCGATCGTGCATCATTCGATGTTTCTGCCTTCTGCTGCGAATGACACCACCAAGTGTTTCTGCTGACAGGATCAGGTCGGTTCCGGTCGGATCAGGTGAGTGTGTTGCGCCGGTCGGATCAGTGAAGGTTGGATGATACAGGTCGGATCTTCCGCAAAAAGAGGGCGGGCCTTTGGCAACCTGCTAAGATGGTGAAGAGCCGGATTCCAATGACCTTCGCAACTCCGTGTCTCGGGGTCCGCGGGTCGGCACCACTCACCGAAAACAAGGAAAAATGAGAGCAATTCCAGCCAGTACATCCAACCCAAAGCCTTTGCAATGATCATCACGTGAATACCAATACACTTTTAAACGATGATCATTCTGAGGGCATCAAATCGCAAAGCAAAACCTGAAGGTCGTCAGTTATATGGTCTTTCTTGGATTACCAATGTCCCCACACGTCCTGACTTCTCTCCCGGAATTGCCTGGTCATCGGGCACCAACGCCTCCAATGTGATCTTGCCCTACTGTGATGAAAGAAATGCAAATAAGACCAGCTTTTAGATCATGCATGCGCATGAACCACGGTGTTTTACCTGCTTTGTTACTTTGTCTTGGGCCTAAGACTTGAGTTGATTTAAGAATAAAGTAATTCTTGGATCAGCTCTTGAATTTTGAGAAGGTCAAGCTTGCTTGTACAGGAATACACACATATATAATATAACTATAGTTATATATATACATAGATATAGATATCACATGCCCAACACACTGGGAAAAAGGAAGGTAGTACTTCTGGTGACTGCTTGAATGCCCTGGATTGATGAATCCACAATGAATCTACTGGCTTAAGCCGGCTAAGCTTCCTGGGCCTCTTTGATGTACCAAACCAGCCCTGACTCCCGAACCCACCTGTTGGTCTTAGGGTTTATGGCTTCCCGGTTGCTGGCAGGTGATCCGCTTGTCCGGTGGGTCCGGGATAGACCAAACTCACCAAACTCACCGTTGCGGTTCGCGTGACATACCCTACGGCGCGACAGACCCGGCATTCACCCACAGGGACATTCAACCCATCACCTGAGCGTCAACAAAACCAGGTAAACGATATTGTATCGACCTGTGCTGACCAGGAGACACTGTCTTTGACCCTTGAGAGGAAAACCAAGACTGGCTTGCATCAACATCCTGTCAATTTAGAGGAAAATGGAAACCCTTGATGCGTTCATCACAGTTGAATCATCGCCATGAGATGGTTTGTTGACTGTTCATTCATAACATCCCTGACTGGAGATGTAAAGCCGTCCCTGATACTAAAGGGGGTTTATGAATCAACAGTCAACATTACGGACTAAGAGTCGACAAAGAACATGATCCCGAGGTTTGTTCTGGTCCGCATCGGCAAGAACCAAAGATCTGGTTTGGGTGCGAACTGGGGATGACGCCCTCCGGATCGTAACCTAGCTGTCGGGGTTGAAGAATTCCAAGCAACAGACCGTGATCGCGAGACATGTTCAGCCTAAAATAGGGTCAGCCGCTTCGATCGATCCCAAAATACTTCACCGAACGAACAGTCCCTGTTAGGGTGACTGGGGATTGGTGAATTCCCACTGTCACTAGTAGCGAGGGCCTCCAACCGAACGAAGAGTTTGCAGGTGATCCACGACGTCTTGGGGCCTCGACTGCATCTTCGGTGCCTCGGCACGCATCCGCGGGTGTTCTAAGTGGGGTGTTGGATTCAAACGTATCCCAGACCATCATATGGACTAGTGGGGTGGTTCAGCTGGGGTCAATGGGGCGGCATCCACTCGAATCCTATGGAAGGTCTGAGATGGTCTGAGTATTTGACACGATCCATGGTGGGCTTCTCTCGCTGTCCCAGACCATCCACATTCATTTCGAAGAACAGATTGCCGTTTTGGGTCCTATTCTGGTGTTTCGTCGCGGACAGGACTATCTGACGACAAAAAGTGTGCAAATTCCCAGTTCTGGTGCTGCCAGGTGAACGATACACTCACGAATGGTTTAGCCACAAAAGGGTCCGATCGTCCCAGCAACCAGCGGCCACTGCCGGGAGAGGTCGTGTTGCGTGTCTGAAACCTATGACAAGTCATGCAGCCAAAGCTAGGAGTGGACACTCTGCTGCCCAGCCTGTCAACAACCACAAGGGTGACAGAAGTGTTAAGCGCTTCGTGCTTGGCATGGGGCGGGCTTGCGCGCAAAAGATGCGACCAGTTGTAAGCCTCCAAATTTCCAGGTAGAGTCGTTTCGTGCTGTGGCGTGGATGGGCGCACTCAGGGAAAGAAGCAACCAACACAAGCATCCAATGTCCATTCATGTTCCACTGTCTGACACCGGTATATCAGTATATCTCTTATTCATTGGTTTCTCCATTCTTCCGTGGTGAGCCAAACGCTCTGTTTTCGGACGGAGATGACCTAACCCAGACCATCCAGGCGACTGGAAGAGTTGTACAACGTATGTTATATACAGGTTACCGTTTACCGCGTTCCTGGATGGTTTGGGTCACAGAAAACCTCCTTGAACTCATCCTCAAGCCCGAGCGTCGCATCGCTCAGGCTCCATGCGTGAGTTCACGCGTTTTCCATGTGTTTTCCACACATTCGGGAGACCAAAGGAGGAGACTCCATGCGTTCCGAGAGAGAGAGAGAGAGAGAGTCACTGACTCCATGCCGAGCCGAACGAACGTCCACCTGTTCTGATTTCGTGGAGTTTCCCCAAATCTTCACCCCCTGAAATCAGGGGTAGGTGATCCACAATGTCCTGCCCTTCTATGTCCTAAACCTCCTTGACCTCATTGGGTGCTGTTTTTGTGCGGTCCTTGACTTCGAAATGAGGTCGGTCCTTCACCTCCGGGGAGGAAGTCCCATCCCTCCGCCGTGTGCCGTCGGCGCAGCTGCCGTCGGGCGGATCCGGTGCCTCGACGTCGGGCGGCGAGCCACGCACCTGAGCCACGATCCACAGACTCTGTGGGTCAAGAAGTGAAGTTCGTAACAAGGACGGTATACGAAAGGTGGAGGCCATCATGTTTATTTCCGGTGGGAGGCCATTACTAGTAAGAAGAAGCTACTAGGAACAAAGGTTGTTTGGCAAAAACATGCTCTTTCAGGGGCCGAACTGTTCCACTTTCTCGATGTTGAGGGATATTATTACTATATATATATGTATTATACAGTATATATAATATATATACCTCCTCAGAAGATACAACTGGACCGTCCTGGAGCCTACATCAGGGAGTCTCCAATCACCTTCTCACAGGGTCTTCTGGATCCATATGGTGCCGATGACTTCAAGTCGAAGAATGCGGCCAGGTCTCTCGCATTCTTGAGGTGACGAGGTCGAATCCACGCACCAAGCGAATTTGAACAGCCCCAAAAAGCTCATCCCATATATGCACCACCTGTTTCCAGGATCCTATAAGGTCTCTCAACCTCTCCTGGCATGCTTCCATTCATGCCAAGCACTGAAGAAAACAACTCTGACGGGGGGTCGCTTTGCTGTAGAAGTAAGTGCACTCAGTGTCTTGAGTTCAAGTTAAAGGTGTGGAGCACGTGGAAAGCATGGCTTTCTGGAACGCATATTGGCTTCCGAAAAATCATCGCCGTCCACTCGACCGGACGTCCTAAGTCCTATACCCGACCAGTCGAAACCTCGCGTCGCCTTTGTCGAGCTCTGGGCGTTCGCACCGGGCGTCGCAAGATCCGCCTTCCGGAGGTGTCTGATCTCGAAGCTTCCCCGCGACACCTCGACGCTCCGAGACAGGTGGGGTTGAATGGAGGGGACCGCTGCGGACGGCTACGGACGGTGAACCGGTGTGGCCGAAGATGGGGACACATCGCGGGCCTATGCACCTGTGCAACATGCAGGTGTTCGATGGGCCTATTCTTTCCGGATCTGTCCGGTGCGTCACGCACCGGTGCGTTACAGTTTCAGTTTCACTTTAGGTGCGCCAGTGACGCTGAGGTCTGACCTTAGGGATGTCGTTGGGCCACTGAGAATGCTGTCCAGCACTGTGCAGATCGTCTCACCTGACCTGCCAGAGTTTCTGGGACACTTCCTTAGGATGCCGAAGATGGGGATGTGTGTCCGAGAACATCGGCTGACATGATTTCCATGACTGATAGGTCCTATGGCTCAACTGCCAAGGAGAGGACCATTGCTGAGGTGTTAGCGAAAAGAGTGGCCCCAGGCCCAACAAGTGGAATTTTGTCAATTTTGGATACTGTATCCTTTATCAGGCAATCAAAGCTGAGCAGGCCCCCCTTCCAGAGGAAAATGCTCATCCAAGGGGCCTATGTTCCACGTGACCATGATTCTACCAGGGAGTGCCCTTTCTCTTTACCTCAGAGATCCTCTTAGATCCAAGGTGAACCGAGTCGTTGAGTCGGATGGAGTTTGGTTAATCTTGAAGGTCTTGGCTTCGCTCCAGTTCCAGACAGCATATTTGGTTTATTCCCGCCCCAAAACCAAATCACCTGACCACGGGCCTCTGTGGCACGTGAGCATTTAGTAGTGCCCCCTTCAGTGGATACAGCATGATACAAAAGCAGTGTAGAGAACAAGGATGATCAATGATATTAAATGGAACCGGGAAAGATAGATCTTTTTGTTTAATGAAGTGTGAAGGGGGGCGTATTGTGATCCTTTGTTTCGGGGGAGGGAAGCTCTCTCTCTCTCTCTCTGTGAGAGTTTGAAGATAGCACCTCCCAAAATGGATCGGTAAGTACTGTAAGTTGCTCTTGATCTGCACAAAGGTCTCCCAAAGAAAAGACATCTACACCACCTTCGCACACCTTGGCGGCGCTGAAAGAATCGAAGTGCAGTGAACTCCATCTGTTTGGTATTAAGAAAAATTGGTCATTTCCAGAGGCCATGCGGCCATGCCGTCTACTTCCATAAATCTTTCAGGGAGTGTAACAAGGACTCCATCTGAGCGGACCCACCCACTCACGTGCGAGTCCGCTCGATTCTGCCTCCACCAGAGGTGCCATGGCGGCCATGGGTGCGCTTTACCGGAAATGTATCGACTTGTTTCAAGGACTTTTGCGGTCGCCAGAGCCCTCCAACTTACTAGCACTGGCCTCCAACCAAATGGGTTGATTTTGGACGTGCACCAATGGAGCGCTTGCTCCTCAGGCATCTAAGGCTGTGGGTCTTGAGAAACCGGGGACACCCGTTGACCACCCCAAGAATGAACAGAATAGACTCCACCTGGGAGGTCGGCCCACGCTGGTCAAAGGGGCTCCGGTTTTGACCTACAGCCCTATAGATCCCATCACCAGACACCCAAACGACCCGTAAAACACACGGCTTGGACACATGGATTCTGCCAGGCCGGTTTCGAACATGCGGGTGCAATCGGAAGGAGCGATCTTCAGCCTTTTACTGATCCAGAGGATCTCCATCGGATTGGTTCATGGCGCATGAACTGGCGCATGAATTACACATGAAATTATCCCATAACAACCTTATCTATTGAAATGAAGGGATACCAAGCCATTAACCCCTACAGCTAAGATTGATCTGATTGCTGAGAATCTGATTGCTGAGATGTTTCTTCTTCAGGAGTGGTTCATGTGCTGATGTGTCTTGCCTGTCTTACTATATACTACATTCCATCAGGGACGAGCTTTGCCTAGCGTTTAGCCTGGCAGATTTCAGATCCAAATACTCGGTCGACTGGGCCAAGTGGACAACATTGGACAACTATGGTGCGTGAACTCATCTACTAAAAAGTTCGTGCTCTGTGTAATAGAGGTTGTCTATTATTCTATTTTAAAGTTCTGTGTTTCTTCTTCCGTGGTCTTACGCAGCCTAAGACAAAACAAAGCAAAACACGTTTCGATCCATCCACTGAAGATTCCACTGGTGATAGTGATTGGTTCGTTTGGACAGTTCGTGATCGTTTTTCAAAGATCGTAGTCATCAGCCAGGCGGGAAGCGACCGTCCCGTCTGGTAGGAATTGGTTGGAAGTCAATGCCCTACCATGCCCTACCCAACGAAACGGCCACTCTGCAGTCGTTTTTTTGTTGGCAAAGATGGGCTGTACATGGCGTTCTTGCAGGCGGAGCTATGCCCTGGGCATGGCGTCCAGTGAATTATCAGGGTCCTATTTTCAGGTCAATGAGAAGAATCAAATTGAAAGAACTCCAAAACATAAGTTTTGGCGAATGTGTGAACAACTTTTAAACACGTTTCTTGATCTCAGAAGTCCATTTGGCCTCCAAAAAGACCCTAGCTGTCTTGAATTTGCCAAGACGTGGCGTGCTAGATCAAATGCAATGTAAAAATACAAGAATTTGTGCAAAGTAAAGCCCGGCTTGCTAGATGGGCTTGGGCTTGTCTTAGCCCGCAAATGGCTGGGCCGTTGTGGATGGCAAAGAAACAGGATCACTTGCGTCTTTGTTTTCAACTGTTCTTGTCCCAATGCATGGCCGTATTTTGGAGGCTCCGAGCCAAATCGAGCCTCTATACTGTATACTTGTTATGCAATTCTCCTCGTCTCCACATTATCAAGAACGGAACATATGCAAATCAGTTTGTATTTTGCATAAATGGGTTTATACATTACGTGGAAAAATGCTTCAGCACCGGATGAAACATGTCGTTTCACATTCGCCCAGGCCATGATGCGGTGATCTGCTCCCACAGGCCGCCGAGTCATCCGCTGCTCCGAGTCAAAGGCCACAGAGGCCGCCCTCCGTCGAGCGAATGTGCCCTTCGTACATCCGGTGCCTGGCGATGCGGCGACGTCGGGAGCGAAAAGGGGGAAGGTCTGTGTTGAGAGCAGGTCGGCGTTCTTGGAAACCCATAGGACAACCTCTTTTTGACCAAAGGACACGGGGTCTTTTGGGGGGAAAAAACACTCTAAGCACATGAATGGACCCAACTAAAGTCCAACTGTCTTGACTTAACATGCTTCTACGCAAAACGATTGCATGTCCACTTGGTTTTGACCTCCAAATCTCAAAAACTACAACTAAATACCTGCAAACCTCCAGTTTTGTGCTAGGCGTTTTCTGTCGCTCTTTGGAGCAGCGCATCATATCCCCCCCTTCCAACCACTACCCCATCGGTTTGGTCATCCTCGGGCCCCGGACGCATTGCGCGCCATGATGTTACCAGCGCTGGTGGCCAACTGCGCGGGGATTCGACCGGATCGTGTGATCTTTGGAGGACTCAGCCAGCTCAACATTGGTGAGCCCCATGGCTATGAAGTCGCCAGACTGCAAACACCCTATAGGAACAAGTCAAACGCGGAGTGTTATTTTAAAAGACTCTAGCGTGATATACCGTGAAATGAACGTAACATGCGATGTTTAACCGTCCTGTTAGTTTCCTTCCGCCCTTGGCAAGGTCCTGAACTGCTGCGTGGCCGTATGTGGTATAGATCACGGAGGGAGAACAGGTGAACTGCCCAACACTCTGCCCAATATAATTGACATCAGGACTTGTGAGGCCAGCTTCGCTATTAAATGCTATCAAAACAATGTTGGCAACCATTTTGGGGTAGTATCAGGCTAATCGGACTGGTCATGGAGTGCTTTGAACAGTGATTGAGAAGGGAATAACTAGGAAGAGTCAGGTGGGGACACCTGCATCCTCACCAGAACACGTTGGTATGGGATGGGTGGTCAAACATTGCATTGTTTAAACATCGAGACTCCGTACATTGTGTTAAATTTCGTACTTGATGAAATGCTGAGTTAAGCTTCACGTTGGAAATGTAGGGTACATGTTTTAAACCTGGGACGAGAATTTGTCAGCCAATTGGTTGCCATCAAGGTAGGAAGGTCTCCAGTGGTAGTGTTGCCACCATCTGCGTCGACCGAAGTGAAGATTGCGCCAAAGAACGGGCTGCCGATATAGAAGATAGATAGATAGATAGATTGATTGATTGATTGATAGATAGATAGATAGATGGATCGATGGATAGATAAATAGATGGATAGACAATAGACAGATAGATAGATAGATAGACAGATAGATAGATAGGTAGACAGATAGATAGATAGATAGGTAGATACATGGATAGATAGATAGACAGATAGATAGACAGATAGATAGATAGATAGGTAGAAAGATAGATACACACTTCTTGCAAAAATAAGATATAGGTTTAATAAAGCTTGTACGCGGCCAAGCATGGTCAGGCACTGCTTTCGCACTGCGGCATCTACGGGCACCAAACGGTCGCCATTCGGACCAACTGGTGATGCCTACCGAACCCAAAAGACCAGGGAAACACGCGGGTGTCCAAGCCTCCAAAAGTGGTGCCCTGAAGCAGCCCAGCGCTCGGGAAAGTCCAGCAAGCAACTGAACACTCTCTAACCCCGAGTACCCTTGGTTAAGACTACTACCAAGTCCTAAGCGCTCCCCAATTTTGGGCGGAGAGGAGCAGCTTCACCAATGGCTGAGTCAACTGTCTCAGCCAAGCTCGACAGATGCATTCAGCACGCCTTCCAATGGGAGATGCCTTCTTTTGCCTTTGACTTTCATACAATGTCATACTTTGGTGCTAGCGGCAAGTGCAGTGAGTCGTTCGTAGAATTGTCTTGCACCAACTATGCTGTTCGAAGCATTGACGAGTTGCAGATCAGTCACTCCTTGGGGCCGTGCTTGGATGTCCGATGCAAAACTGCAAGTGCGGTTGGGCTAAAATGAGACTGTGCCAAATGAACCCAACAACAATCTTCCCTAGATTCATCCAAGTGAAAACTGCTGGGTGATCCAAACAGTGTGAAACGAATGGGCCGTGTGCAGCAAGGGATCGCCCAACCCAGCGCTCATGTGAAGATTAATTAAGAGGGGGCAGTCCAAAGTCTGCTGTCTGGTCCCCCAGTTTTTTTGCTTTTCACCCACCCCAACTATCATCCGGACCCGAGAAAACCCAAACGGTTGCCCCAACTGACGCCCACCCCCACGGCGTTTGTTCGGTGTCCGACCCTGGATCCGCATGGATCTTGGGGCGATTGGATCCAATCCCATTGTGACCACCCCGACCATCGACCGGCAGAGGCCGCACTCCCCAGCTGCGACGCAAGATGTGGCTGAAGTACTGGTCATCTTGGATCCTGACTGAATGAGCTGAGGAATGAACGAATTGAAAGTGAACTATGAAAATCCATTAACAACCTCAAGGTAAATGAACAACCTCAAGGTAATGTCAAGCTCTTTTGTTCGGGTTCCGTTTCAACACCCAGCTTGGGGGCTTCCAGCATGGCCAACGTCGCCCTGCAGAGGAAGGGAGGAATGGGGAGCCCAAAGATCCCTCATCTCAACATATCTCAACACACCAATTGATCTTGGAAGTGGACCAAAGCTCCAGGATGACCATGTTCCTCTTCTTAAAAGCTGTTTTTCTTCCACTTCCCGGTTTGTTTGCGGAAGGGAATTAAACCAAAACACACCCAAATCAAGTGTTTCCATTCCTTTTGGTTCACCTTCCGGCAGCGACAGCCCGCTTCCGGCATAGCTGTTTGGACTCCCCATGTTAGGCTGCCCAAGCCTGGATCCACATGTGAGGCTTATATATAGTATTATATATATAGACTATCCCTATGGATCCACATACCTTCTGAGAAGGTGATTGGAGACTATTTATGTAGGCTTGGAGGGTCCAATTACCTTCTGAGAAGGTATGTGGATCCATAGGGTATATATCCTATTACCAGGGCCCTGTGGATGATGATGGTTAGTAAAGGCCTTGTTCAAAAAAAGTGATAACTTGTTTACTGACTGTTGCAGGCAGTATAGGACAAACCCAATGTGAGGCCATGACAAAAGGGGTGTGGAAACCAGCCTCGCAAAAAAGAAAGCCTTCCGCCGTCTGAAGCCCCGCAGTTTGAAGCGCGACTCGTCGGTCCCGGCAGAGATGGTCTCGTAGTACTTGGCGAAGTCGGCCAGAGAGATCCTCAAACCAAGAGAGGTTGAGAGACCGCCCGTCACCCTGCGGTACCGCCCTATGGGATAGTCTATAGCGGTCTATAGTCTATTCTTCCACCTCTGTTGGTCAAATGGCTGTGGAAACAAAGACAGAGAGCCCC